CAAAAAGTGTTTTCAACACATGGAAGGAATACTTGAAAGTATAAGAAGACTAAATGATATCAATGCATCAGATAGAATAGTTAATCTTTTCTGTTTACCCACATGCTAATTTTGTCTTGATAGAATATCCTTGTCAAGAAATGAACACTTACGTGGAAATAGTGTTAGTTCTGGATGTTTTCCTGAGAATAAAATTTTTTTATTTAATTTTATTTTTGTTCTTCTGAATAAACCCCAAGTATTGGGTGTTTGGCTACTAGATTTGAAAATAAAACATTTCCAATCATTTAGTAGCCCCTCAAAATAGTTCAGATATAACATATTTTTCCCATATTTTACTAGGATCTGAGGTAAGGTGGGCCAAACCACAGTTATATAAAAGTAAAGGGCATTCTGAACATCAGTCTTTTATGACTGTGTAGAGGGGAAATAAGAATAGCTTCTTTCAAACTTAATGGTTTTTTTTTTGAAAGAGGCTACATATATGCATATATGCAGCACTTTTTTTTTTTAACTTGCCAATTTGGGAGGGAAGGATCTACCCCAGGATGGTGTTTCAGCTGGCAAAGCCATAACTGAACATATATGCTGTCTCTCTTAGCAAACTCGAATGGGTAATGGTCTAACACTAAATCATGAGATTCACATTGGTAAAGTCCTCAACTTACTGGGCTAGAAGGAGATTTTATCCTGCTAATAAATCCACTTAAAACGTAAAAATTGAAATATCTTTATTACATGGTAAAATTAAACATATTTGGGGGGATATAAATGACTTCATTTGACAACTCAATTAAAATGGTCTTTTAAAAAGTGTTTTCATACCAGTTTCCATTTTTGGATGTCTTTTCTGACATGCCTGTACTATTATTAGTGTTATATTGTACCTTTTTGGAAAAGTATTTGATTCAATCTGTACCAATCTATTTATATAGTCCATATGGCACATTTGATTCTTCCATGTATATTTTGTATTAATATTTAGGTGTAATTTTTCTTAACTTCTAGAAGGACATATTTCACTTATCAGAACCATTCCATCATTACATTTCATTATTTTCTTTGTTGTCATCTCTCAGTATTATTTTTGAGTATTTTCTTAGGTGTCATTCACACCTTACCTGGTAGCCTGTATTTGAGGTAGTCTGCTGAAGTCATATAT